TGTCCCCCTGCTGCCATATGCTGTGCAGCAACAAAATGTAACAGATTATTGTCAGGAAGGACAAACCTTTACTGCCATATCACCAACATCTTTGTTGTCAGATGCCAACACAATAAAATAGGGAGCATTACTTTTGGAGCAGCCCTTGTACATAAGATCAAAATAAACTGATAAAGTTTGGCCTTGAGTTTTTGTATCTAGTTACAGTAACTATGCACACACAGTACTAAACACTTCTGTTCTCTTTGTCATTGTATGTTTGCAGAAACGTATCAATCTTTGCTCCTGGAAACATTTACAAAGAAACTCCCTAAAGTAATATTTATGTTCTTCTAAGGCTCTTATATGCCATTTCTTATTCTTCGTTACTAGAAAACTATATATGACTTCAATTTTATCAATTTCTGTGAATTTTTTCTTCTGCCAAATACTCATTATGTTACTTTGCCATTTGTATGCAAGTATATTACTTAAAGGATTCTTTTAACAATTTTTCCAAGTTAGAGTCTTTCTTTTTCTTTTCTTTTTTTTTTTTTTTTGTTCTGTTTTATATTTCTATTGCTTTTCACCCTCAGAGATTGGCACCGTGCTTTGTAGTTCTCACAACTTTTACCTCACCCTATAATTCTATTCCAAATTATAGTATATGTAAAATACATACTCGAATGCATGAATATTCGTAGCTCTATTACAAGCCAATCTAACTTCGGTATTTCTTTCTTAGTACTGTGTGTATTGTGCTCAGAAAATCCTGAGATTGTTACAATACTAGAACTGTGAATAAGGCAACAATTTACCCTCTCACTTCTTTTTCAAACATGAATGTATAAAGTTCCTATAGTCCATTCTCCTGCACAGTGCAGAAGTGTGGAAAATTGAAGTTTTGGACCACCTGACTTTTACATTTACTGTCAAAAGTCTGATCTACTTCTTTAAAAACACAATTTTTTTAGACTGTTGAATTTCAATTACTTTACTATGATTTTTTTTTTTTTTTCTACATTTGGGTCAGAAGAGTTTCATTCTCTGCGTACTTAAAATATTCATCCAACAGAAAAAATAAAAATAAAAGTCTCATCTTGACTGATTATTTTATTATGTAAAACAGCATTATTGAACTGTTTCTTGTTCAGTAACTCATCCTATTTTACTGCAGACTGAACTATACCTTTGTGCAGATGAGTAGGAGATTTTTTGTTCTTTTTTTCCCACACAATGCAGGTCAGTTTGCTTCTCAGACTTGTATGCCTCAACAATTAATAGTTATGAAATAAACAGTGTCACTGTAGTATGAGTTCTGTAAAGAATGAAATATTGAATAGAATAAAATATTGAGTGGAATAAAATGAGAATGTATGTTGAAAATCCTAACTTTAAAAACTCGTAGTTTTGATCTTCATGTTCATATTAAGTGAATCACTTTCCATCTTTAAAATTATCAGTTTATTGGAAAATCTAGTTTGTGGTTTCTCACTGAAAACAAAAATTCTTTGTGCGTTTCTGTCAGAAAATCTAGGATAACATTTCCAAGATTATAGAAAATTAGCTATGCTTTTTACTTATATAAAACATTAGATTTACTTTTGCCTTCAGTTATCAGAATGACTGAAACAAAATTGCATGATGAAGAGCAGACAAAAACAGTATGACAGAAAATAAGACATAAAATTAAAAAAAAACCAAACATTTAAAACTAAGTTCACTTGCTTTTGATTTAGCTTACAGACATGAATAAAGATTAATCTTCCTGCCCTGATAACTATCATGTGGAAAAATTCAATTTTTCCATGATCACAGCCAACGTTGTCTAAACTACAATTATATTTTTCTCTTACAGTATGCTAGAAAATTCAGCTTTGTCATTTCTGAGACTAGTACCGGGATTGTCCTTTCATTTAACAGATGAAAACACAATAATCATTATAATGGAGCAACCACATTTTCTGAAATCGAAAAAGCCTTTTTTTTTTTTTTTTTTTTTAAATTGTATTTATGGAGATCTAAGAGGCACAGTAAGTATTCCATGAAAATATTCTCTAGCTTTTATTTTAAATATGAAGGGTTTTATTTTGTAAGAGCAGTATGTGTAAATCCTGGCCACTCTTATATTACTCAGGTTAGTGTGCAGTGAGCTGATTCTTCTTCGTTCTTTGAAAATGTCTAATTTACTATCCTGAAGAGTAGAAAGTGGATATGTGTAACTCATATTACTAAAATGACGTTCACAAAACCATTATAAAGATCACTGTATTAACTTAATATCCTACACTGGTCACAATTTTAGTGAAAGAAGGAAGATCCGTCTTTAGAAGGATTTTGTGCCCATTCTATTTTATAGCTAAATCCCTCAATGAATGATTAGTCATAAAACCTCCAGCCCATTAGCTAAACACCATAATAAGGGGATGCCATCTTGATTACATAATATTCTTTCAATGACTGACTATGAGAGTTTATCCTTTTGAATTTAGGAAGACTCGCTGTTTTCTAAATCTTAGTGTACCTCAAAAAACATTATTTTGAAAAAGTGCAAGGGAACATGAGTTTCTAGAACTTTTTTCTTTAGTCCTTACTGAAACTTTCTATATTTTCTGTGCTTTTCTTCTTCAGTGGAATAGGACAAATTTCAAAATACTCATGTTTAAAAGTTTCCAGAGTGTTTTATCAAATATCAATATAACTAGAAGACAGAAGGCAAGTTTAGAAGTATCCCTGTGTGCTATATTTCTCTCTCTCTCTCTCTTTTTTTTTTTTTTTTAATAACTGACCAATGCTTTACATTGCTTCTCCTGCTATACAAATAAAAATATTGTGAGGTAGTAGTGGTGCCTACTGATTGTGATGCATTTGTCCCACTGCTCTAAAGAGATCTAAAAATTATTCCTGTATTTTGATTAGGAACAATAAGAAGAAGTTGACACTAATTAATCAAAATTAAATTTCTCCTGCTATTTTTATTTAGTGCATTCAGTAGTTCTAGTTTTGCACACTAACATCACATAAGTGAGTACTTATCTAGCTACAGCCTTCTTAAGGCAATTGACAAGATAGAAGAAGCATGAAGGAAGAATTAGGTACGTATCAAAACAACTATGCCAGTCAGTTAGTATATCTAACACCAAGGGCTCCAAAAAAAAAAACCCACAAGGAAAACCCACCACCACTATGTCCATCATACACAGAAATGCCTCCGTAGCTTGGACTTTTTTTGAAAGATCAGGCAGATGTGATCCAAGAGATAATTTCAGCTGATGTTATACCTCAGCCTCTCATACTCACGTGCTATTTCCCACAATATCTTTAGAAATAAACAATATGCTTTTATGTAAATCATGATCACCTTCTAGCTTCTATCTTAACATGTATGTGAAAATCAGGATGAATATGCTGATATCAGCAGACATGCAAAAACTCATCTTGCCTGGTTAAGCATTTGATTATCACAAAAACAGAAGATTACTTTTATAATGGTCTCTCTCTGAATTGTGTGATTTTGGCATATTCTACTATTGCTTCCATCATGTTATTGTCTACTTGTAAGATGCCTTGTTCAACCATGAAATTATGCTTTTCTGTGATTATGTGATTCTGTGATTCTCTTGCTGTTTGGGATTCAACATCTGTTCCAATGCAGATCCCCTAAGCTAACTTTTTCTTCTATCATTTCAAATGTAGAAATTAGGAGAAATGACTAGATCTAAACTACTTTCTGAAGTTTACCATGTTATATGTCTGACCTTTCAAAAGAGAATTTAATCTTGTCATCTGGTCATTTCAGAGAGACAAATCTCTCATTTATGTAGCTATCCACTGAAATTCCAAATTAAGCTTAAAAAAAATTCAGATATCGATGAATTTTTATTTGCATGCTAGTGGATATTATCATTTCTTATACACAGATTTTAAGGCTGGAGGATAAACTCAGATAATACAGGTTCATAAGCGGTATAATAATGGCTATCATCTCAACTATTTCATTAAATGATCCCATTGTATCTCTCGTATTTTCTGATCAGATTCTAAATTATGATGTGTAAAAAGTGCAATGGCATGTAGAAAATATTGGTAGTCGCAGTAGGCAAGCAAGAAGATTACACAGATGAATGGAAGAAAGGCAGAAGTATGACAGTATCAGAAAAAATAAAGTCAGGCTACCAAAAAGCTGGAAGGCACAGTACATTTTTTCCCTTTCAGAGTGATAGAAACTATTTTCTATACTTCATTAGTATAAGCAGTTATTACATTCTATAGATTCTCCAGGATAGCTTACTTGCTAGAGGAACCGGGCATATGGAATTATTATTCCAAACCAAATGGGATGCTGTACTTAAGATTTAACCTTTAACATTAAAGCACAGAAAAAACTTTTTGGTAAGAAACAGATCATTTTGGTGAATGGACTTTATTTATTGTGCTACATACACCCACAGAAAGATCTTTAGTTTCTTTCAAGTGTATTGGTTCCTGTCATCTTTCTTCATTTAAAATGACAGTTCAGATCTTAGATAAGGAGGCAAAACTTTACCAGAGTTAATTGCAATAGGAGGATGTTGCAATAAGCAATTAATTTTTTTCAATTAAAATATGCAAATAAATAAGCAAATGGCTTATATATTTTCTTAGATTTTTTCTCAGATTATGATAGTACAAAACACACATGGAAAGCAATAACAAATATATTTTCAAAGACCACTTTTCCTAATTTTTCACAGGTGTTAGTAACTGTTTTAACTATTCCTACAGTATTTACATGAGATGGCATTAAAAAGACAATTAAGTCAAACTAATATCTTTGTTGTCTCCTATGTGCAGGTTAGGCTAATGTATAGGAACTGCTGAGCCTCTGATTGATCACCTTAGGTGAGCACTGAGTCAGCTGTGGGAGCACAGGTGAGGGTAATTCAGCTGTGTGACCAGAAGGAGTGGAGCCTGGCTCCACCTGTCCTAGACACCATTTAAGGGCTGGCTAGCAGTGAAGAAGGTTCTTTTTCTCTGGATATTGCTCCTTGTGGAGTTTCCTGTGAGCCTGCTACACTGGTGAGTACTTTCCATTTTCTCTGGTTTTATTTTTCAATATGATAATCTTACTAGCCTAGCTTCTCTGTGTTCTATGCAGCATCTGTATACTCACTGATCATACAGCTAACAATGACAAATTTGTGTTAGCTCAGTGTACCAAGTGCCAAAATTCTTGTGAACCCAGTTTGGTCAATTTGTTTAAAAGCAGTACAATCTGATCACCAAATAATGAAAAGGTTCTTCTTTTTGGTTGCCAATACTGATGTTAAGAGGATGAAGAGGGAAGATTTAGGGCATGGAAAATAAATCTCTTTTCTTCCCCTCACAGAAGTAATAATAACAATAATACCCCCTTCAAGCTATAAATCAGATTTGAAATAATATATGCAGGATTTTCTCTCTCTCTCTCTCTCTCTTTTTATATATATATTTAGCTCCATCACACAGAACACCTTAATACTATTCTTCATTTTTATTCTTAGTAGATAAAAATGCAGATATGTGGCTTTTCATTTTTAATTAAAATAAAAAGCATATTGCTCAAAACTTGCTCTTAAGTATTTTGCCTGAAAAGCAACGTGTTCCCAGTATGTGACTGAAATTTATAAATAAGTAGCATAGGCCAATAGAACATAGCTAAGCATTGAAAGAAAAACAGTAAGACTTTTTTTCTCAGCATTAATACTTAAAAGGGCTAATTCAAGCAGTAGTTCGTGTTAGTTTCAGCTCCTCATTTCTTGTACCTTAGTTACAAAGAAGTACTGTAGCATCACATCTTTATGTCACTTGATCCAAATGCAAAATTAAGTAAAACTTCACTGTGGAAAGTAGACCTGGTTATTAAGTATTTCTGCTAAAATTTTTCTAATTAGTTACACATGCGTGGAAAACAGCTTTGGTAATCAAACTTGTATATAAAGGGATTTATTTCTCTTGGTTTAAATTATTTGTTTCACTTTTTTCTTTATTTGTCCTTTTATTTTTTTTTAGGAACGTAGTACGAAACAATAGCAGGCAATGAATAATGGTGGCTGATGGAATCATTACTTAGTTCTACTCAGAATTTTAAAACTGGAAAATAAATCTTCACAATTCTTTAATGCTAGCATATGATGCAAAGAACTACAGAAATTAGATAAAGTTTTGGATTTACTCAAACACATGTAAGACATTGACTGATTGTAAGTTAAGGGATGGTGCAAGTTGTTAAAAATTCTGCAATGTCAGATGAATTTAGGAGAATGTAAATTCAAGTAATCATACAGTGATATTCAATCAGAAATATTACCTGAAAAAGAAAAAAGATAAAAATTCCTTTTTGGAGCCAGTTAAAATTGTTAATGACATGTCGAATTTGTTAAAAGAAAATTTCTGTTCTGAGTGATAACTGTGGAAGGACACATTGACAAGACTTCAAATCAGTTTATTTGTAACATCCATGATGTTTAAATCACTGTAAAGATTATGGAAGAATGTCATTAATGCTTTGTAAAATTTTTGAGTGTTAGGAATTTTTACATTTACATACATACACGTCATATTACATTTACCTTTCTTTTCTTCAGGGTTAGCTGAACATGATGAATAGCAGATAAATTCTGCAGTCAATTCCTAAGGCTGAACTTCAACTTTACCTTCACAGTTTGTCAGGGCTTGAATGGATTTCACCAATATCTGTATTAGAAGCTTTATGATTGCCTTTCTCAAATCAATAGATATATATTCTTATGAGTATTGTAGCTTTTTAAAACAAGCCAAGAGTATGTACATGCAATGTCAGTTTGCTTAATGAACAAATTTCTAATGTCTTACTTTTTTGGGGTGTCAAGACAAGATGCCACAAAGGTTAAGGGAAAAAGAAAACAACAAATGACAATACAACCAACCAAAACAAACCAAAAATCCAGAAGCCCTGATCTTTATTATTGTTGCTGTTAGCCATAAATATTTAACCCATACTGCTGGAGATGATGTCTTCTGTGTTACAATATACAGAAATGACTAAAGATTCGTGATTATTTTGAAGGCATCAGAGCCATCTAGCTTCAAATCTCACTTGACTTATCCGTATTCTGAACACATAAGGACTCCTTGATTTAAAAACATACTGGATGCATCTCAGAGGAAAAGGGCTCCTATGCCGGGGAACAGTGTTCTTTGCATCTACAGATAAAAAGAGCAGCTTCAGTCCTAAAAATCATCTTGAACTCCAGCAGTGCCGAGCACCAAAGGAATCAGCACAGGAATTCGCAGCAAACTAAGGGAGCGCAGCAGCCATTTGCTTCTCCCTTATTATGCTAATCATATTACCACAAACAATGAAGCCAGGAAAACACTGCAGTAGCATGGTTCTTGGCTTCCTAAAGTATCATTAGGAAACACAGTTGTTGTTACCTTGAGCAGATTACAAAGGCTATGCTACTTTAGACCACTCACTGGTTTTGAACTAGTCATTTGGATATGCAAATATCACTATAGGCTAGGTTATTTGGTTCCTGTTTAAATATTGGTCATAAATTTATGTAACTCTATTGCATCATTTCTACAAATTTTTTAAGGAGTTTTAGAAATACATGAAACACTAGTTCAGAACACTTTCGTTGAATTCTAATGCATTTTCTCATATAATTCATAACGTACTCTCTGCCAAAAAGCCTAAGCAGAAGCCCATTGGATAGGCAGTACTACAGAATAATATAGCAGCAAAAGGATGTCTTGACAACTTGTAATGCTAAGGTGATACCTCATATCTAACAATGGATCAATCCTTTACTAGCTAAGCCTAATGAAAAAAAGCATTTTCTAAGAGATAAATCAAATTGTAAATTCACGTTCGTATCTGACACTCTGCTTTGGATGTGTATGCTGAAAGCTACCTGATAACATTCTGTGATTTAGTGCAGCCTACGTAAATATGCAGGAGACCAAAAAAGTTTCATCTACTATTTAGTCTTTTGATAAAGTAAATTTAAATAATGGCTTGGGCAAAAACCTTTTCACTTAAATCTGTTAAGCAACCCACATGATAGGTTCACTACACCATGGTGACAAAAGTCTGGAGACACTGTTGCAATGCTTCTCTACAGACAGCTAGTAAAACAAATCTGTAAGAACTACTGATGTGTAAGATCTTACTGTGTTGTATGTTTCACAGCTGTTAGCATTTTCCTTGTTGCTTTCTGTTTTACAATTACAACCCACAGGTGACCTGTGAAGCTGTATTTGCTTTCTTACAAAGGAATCAACATTACCACAAAATAACTCAGCACGTGAATCTCACTGTTATGGTTCATAGACACGTTTCACTGGTCATGGAGATGTCTCTAAAAGATTTTGACAGACTAAATTGAGTAAATAAGATGAATAGATCACACAAAACCAAAATAATGCTTTCCATCTTTTAACTACAAGAGGAGTCTATTTCTCAGAAAAACTTTATACCTTATTACAGCATATATCTTTCTCAGATATCTTGCTTCTTCCTTCTGCATGTACTGCGTTAGCTCCAACCATACAGAGTTCCGTGTAAGCTGCTGTCACATTATTTACAGAGATTCCATGAGACAACCTAAGTCAGGTCGTACCTTATGGGAAAATTGAAACAGCTTCATTAAATATCGTAAATAAACAAGAGCAAAACTAGCAAGTATCCAATAATTTTTTTTACTCCCTATTCCTCAGCTGGTCTTGAGAATCTGGTGAAAGATGTGAAGGAAGAAGGAGCTAGGGTGCATGTAATTCTGGCTGTTTACAATGGTGCTAACTGAATGTGTTACATACACTTCCCAGGAAGCCGCGGCTATAATCATGTAGATCTAGGTACATACAAGAGCGAACATCTGGTATAAACTGATGTTGAAAAATAGTAATAATATCAAAAGAAAAAAGACTAATGGTTACTGAAGACATATCAAGACAATATTAAGTAGAAACAACCATGGTAACTTCTAATTTGTGCAGCAGCTCATCTGTAGCCAGCATGAAATTACTAGTTGCAAAGATTTTACTACAGAAACTTTTATGTTTTCCCTCATCGCTGGTATCTCTTTCTATATGAAAATAATAGTAGAAAAGTATTTATTTACTGACAAAGTGATCACCATATGTGAGGTCCTATCATTGCATTTTAAGTAAGCATACTGCAGTGTGAATGCTCAGATGGGCTTCTTCTCAAAAACTATATGCCTTGAGTGTGTGGAGGCATATGCATAAAAAAACTATTTAGAGAAGCTTGTCACAACATCCTGAAGCATTCTTATTTCCTCGAGCTAGTTTATTGTACAGACTTCTAAGATAAAATTTCAAATACCATAATTTTTTCTAGGCTTATTAAGACTGCACTACAAATAGCTGACCTGGATTTCACAAGTATTCTTACACAGCTCTCATGGATTTCAACCCAAGCAGTGTCTGTTCAGTGTTTGTGAAAATGGGACCAAATGCAAATATGAAAGTGTAGAACTATATCCTTTAAAGCTATCTAAGTTAGAATTGACATTGAAAGCCATTTGTTAGGAATCAGGATTAGGATTAAGGTATGTTTGGTCTCTTTTTTTTTTTTTTTTTAATAGAATAAAATGTGCTTTTTTGTGGGGGAAAAAAAAAGCTATTCATTTTGTACTGAGATTTTGATTGAATTTCCCTTGTTGATCGGATATTTAACACTTAACACTTGGAAATTACAGCTCTTCTCAATGCTCCTTTTATTTAGCTCATGTCCCCTTTAATAGAAAGCTAATAATATTTACGACATATTTATGTTAAAATCATAGACCCAAGAATTCATTCACAATTCCCTCTTTTATATAATTATGATGTTTGTGAAAAACGCAGATGCGTCATTGAATGTGCATATTTAAAATGATGTGATTGTATTCACATCTGTACAATACTTAAGCCTTATAATACATACAAATAGGGTCCTCAAGCTACTATGAAATGCCTAACACCTGGCAGATGAGATAGCAGCTCAAAATAATTTAAATACTGTATATTAATTCACTTTTCTGAGGCAGTTAGGCTATGTAATTGCTAAGCCATAAACTTGAAAATACGACTGCATAAAACATTCCCCCTTAGATATATCTGACAGAACACATAGGTAATGTTTAAACATTTGTACTTGATGTCTTAGGCCTTCACATAGGCTTTCTTCATCATCTTAATTACTCTTTTCTGTTTCCTTTTCATACCCTTTTGCTTTCTGATGCCATTTGCCCGGCCAATTACGTGGCATCCTCTTATTTTTTCGATTAGTTCTCTTCTCCGTTATGTTTTCTCTCACTTTTCTTCATTTTGTTCTGACAATTTCATCTTGTGCTTTCTACGTTCCTTTTAGTATATCTGTAGGAGAATGAGTGCTATTAGTTGGTAATATCACCTGAGTCTAAATTGTGTTTGCATCTAATGAATGAAGTTAAGCTTCTATGCCATTCTAGTGGCCGTGTCAGATGGTCTCACACTGACTTAGTAAGTTTTGTGCATCTGCTCCAGATTGAAGTGGGATGAATAAGTATTGCAGCTTGCTGTTGGGCATTTTACACAGTTTCAGCTGCGCTTGTATAAAGCTCTTTCCTGTACTTATGATTTTCCATGTAAATATTCAAAAGAGCACAATACTAAGATGAATAACTGGGCAGACAGAGAGGGAAGAGTGGGATCTGAAGAAAAATATGGTCTACAAGTTGGTACATGAAATCTTTATCTGGGGCTTTTGTTATCGGACACATAAACATGGATGTTTGATACAGTGTTTCAACACTGATTCCAATTTAGCTCTTTAAAAGTGAATGATCGAATTAACATTATATATCAGAAGAGATATAAATATTAAGTGTGTTGTTGTATTTTTACATCATTTTACATCGCACAAAATACTCACAGAGTGATGGCAATTATGCTAGACTCCAGGAACCTTACATGTAGTTTTTATGCCTCCCTTTTGAGTGTGGCAGGACAGATACTATGGTGATCACACTTAAACTCTTCAGTGAATCATTTTTCCTAATGGAAAAGTGTTAGTGAAAGTGTGACTGCTGGAAAAATGTCAACTTTACAAAAAATGAGACATTTCATTCAAAATAAGTCAGTTTTGACATAACATCCACTGGGGAAGAAGGGAAACTGTGTTAATCATTTAAGAGCTTCACTTGGGATGTCAGAACTAGCACTTGACTATCAGACATCTGGTATGTCTGAAGATTTATTAGCGCTTCATCTTTTTTCTCATCCTCATTTCTCTTCCTTGCCTATGAAATTCAACTCTTTGGTAAGCTCCCACACTCTCCTTAAAAAAAAAAAAAAAAAGTGGGATCATACTTGGAAAGATAAAAATTTTCACAATATACAAACTGTTTCCCATATACCCTCAGATTTAGGCAGTCAAGTGAAACTCACTTCAACTACAACAGGGAGACAGGCTATGTTGTCAATGGGGGAATTATGATGTACTTTTTTAAAAATAATATCCTAAAATTTGTAAACTACACTGTATAGGGATGTTTGTCCAATACAAGGAAACTCTTGCAGAATTCTCTTAAAGATACATATACTTTTTGGTAAGTTTTCCCAATATCTGCTCAGTGGGAAAAAAAATCTCTACTGGCTGCTGAAAAACTGCATAGCTTAATTAAATACGCATAAAATTATACTACTCTTACCTTAAGGAAAAAGAAAGAAAGGAAAAAAAAGTTGATTTTTGAGCACTGTAGTACTGAAAGTATGGAAGGTATGTAGGGTACTGGACCTCGGGCAGCAATCTTTCAAATAATTCCACCTATATTGTTCTCTTGTTTGAGTCAGAACACATGCTGTATACAATTCTTTCCTTGCGTGTGTTTTACAAGCAACTGTTGCTACATGTGTGTCAGTTCAAATATTTTAATATGTATGCACACACACACTAAGTAATAACTATTCTGCTGTTCTCTTACCAATGTAAGTAGTATATTCTAATAAAGTGTATTTTAAAAGCTTTATCCTAAAAAATCCATGTTATTACATAATGTGGATTATTACCCATTAAAATAATGAAATCAATCACTGAAACTGCAGCGGAGTTTGTGGCTGTAGTTGTATATGTACATGCTAGTTATAAAAGAAAGTATGCATTTATAAAAATGGGCCATTTGGGTGATTAAGCAGATGTGCTCTCTGGCCTGTATCAGGACAAATTTCTGAAATGAACAGTCATCTGCTTCTGCAGATGGACAGTGCTGAGGGAGGGTTGGACCTTTCCCGTTGCTCATTGTAAACAACCTCAGCCCCAGAGAGGCACAGAACGATCTCTAGTGATTAACTGTTGTCATAGGAGCAACATACTGTAAAATGAATGTAATGTCTCTGAGCATATAGTAACTGGCCTGTCTCATACGTGCATGCACAGAGTATTATTCTGAATGATTTTCACACATACTGATAATGTAAAAGTAACTTTCCATTTTTGTATTCAGTAAGAAACAACAGCATAGTTTATGGTCTTAAAGAAGATTGTTTAACTATCATTTTCTTTCCCATATGTAAAAAGAGGAAGAAACCATCATACAGTTAGTCAAAAGAACACTGATACTGATAAATAATTTACTGCTTTAAATGATGGTTATTGAGCTAGGGAAATAAACTTCATTATCACCAGATAGGAAGAAATATGGTACAAACAAGAAAGAATTAGCAATCTGCTGTTTTACCACCTGATCACCTGAGTGCAGTGAACAGCAGTCTGTATTATGGATAACCATAGTGTCATAAATGATCAGTTGTCATTTACAGTAAGTTTGTCCAAAACCAGAATGTAACTTTCCAAAAGTAAAATAATAATAATAATAAGCTCTGCTTTGGAGAATGAAGACAGCTCTTTAAGTCTGAGATGCCAAACAAGCAAATAAAAACAACACTCACCACACTGCTTTTTTGGAATGAATTTATAGTGCATTTGTATAATTAAAAAAAAGTACTGTACAACTCAGAGTACTAACAAATGAATTAAGGGAGACTGCATTTAATCCACAGGGAGTTTGGAATGGTCTTACTGTAGTGGCTTCATTCTGCTCCCTGTGGATGCTCCACAACCAGCTGGGTTGAAAATTTCAGTCAAAATTACAGTTGAAGGCCCCTTGATAGGATACATTAGTAAACAATAAGGGGAGGTTACAATATGCATTTATGTCTTTACATTCAGAGATCAAGTAAACCAGCAGACAGAATGTTACAACAGAACAAATAAAAAGACAGTACTTCTGCTTGAGGCAACTTTCCTTTTTCAACGTTTTTCCCTGGACATATTTATTTTTTCAAAGGATAAAATTAACAAATAAATGGCAACTAGTTTAAATATATTTAAATAATCAAGCATAAATAAGGATAGCCTTCTCAAAATTATAGCTGGAAATAATTTGATTTACTACAGTCAATGCCTATTCAGCAGTTTCAGATTTATAGCTACTATCCCTAGGTAGTAAAGCAAACGTGGCAGGTGAACGTAACAAGCGAGACATTTCAAGCGATACAGTAACTTAAAACCTGAGAAAAGATTCAGAACTGCATGCGTGGATACGTGTAACATTCTTCGTAAGCTTGAATGGTGCACCTGCAGGCTATGAAACCATCATCTAGTAATATATTCTTAACAAGAAGTTCCATCTTTTTGAATATTCTTGTTTTATGAAAAAAATAGTTATTCTATTTATGGAAGGCATTCTAGATTGAGTGCTCTCTATTTGTAGGAAAAAAACAGAAGTTCCTTAAAGACTCATTAAAACAACTAGAAAAAGTATATATATCCTCTCGAAAGAGTAGGAAACAAATGTAACACAATCTTTCACTAGAATTCTTTGGCCAGTGTGAGGCTGGTAGCACTCGTCAGTCCATTATGTTGCCAAAGAGGAAAGGTGCTATCTGAAACTACAGTAGTGCAACAGCACTGATATATGACAGGTCTGATGGCAGATGATCAAGCCTTGCTGCTAAATACATTCTCATCTCTTTTCTGCTAGCATAAAGAGAGGCTGTAGAGGGATCTCCTGGAGAAGGACTGTTATCTCAGACAATCTTCACACTTCACATTTAAGACTTCACTTACAAGTCTAGGGAGAAAATGCTGTAAGTAACTACTGAATTTTACTTGTGGTTTGAATAATTTTTTAAAGACTTGATAGGAGAAGAACTACTTAAACAGAAATGGGAATACAAAAAGGTTTCTTTTGTTTTAAATGCATCGTGTTTAAAAGCATGTTTTCTTCAGTAGTATATTTGGCATGCCACCTTGTTACACAGCTGAATTCTACCGTATGATCAGATTCTAAAGTTTATACAAGAATGATTAAGTTTTCAAAAACACTTGGTGTTATGCAACCTCTGTTTTCTTTGGAATCAGTGATACAAACCAGAGTGCTTCCAACTGAAATATTAATTAAGCAACTACTACGTTTTCTGAGAATTTTACAATAAGAACAGGAAATGTAACAAAATCTGCAAGACCTCACCTATGCTTTTACAGAAGACTTGGGACAGTATCTCCATGAAAGTTTACCTGTGCTCTCCTTTTTGCTGCCTCTGGGTTTCCATTCTGATCTACACATATTGATCATTTACTTGTTTAATTCTTTCAGTTTCAGGTCAACCTTGATGTAGCCCTTAGAAGCTAGCAACAATATAATCAGATTTGTAAGAATATCTATTCTTCTCAGAAAAGTAAGGTCCAAGAGACCATATGTATTGTCTGTCTTTCGCACTGCACTTAGCCTTTCCACAACAGGCTGGATTCCCTAAATTAGGACTGGTAATACTCTCCAGCCTATAAGAAACCAATTACTTTTACGGAGCAGAAAGAAAATAGACCTGATCAGCTAATTAGCACTTGGTTGAGGACAAAGGATAGTAAGCAATGCTTGGCAAGTCAACAGCTTTTGATAGTCTTTTTGAATAATGACATGAAACTGCACCTTTTTAAAGAGCTGTCTTAATGTTTTATTTATTGTTCATTGATGATAGTCTAGTTTACTCTGATAACTTAACTTCCTCTGATATCTACAGTGGATTTAAGCAAGGGTTAAATTTGGCCTTGAGTGTCCTATGGCTCACAGTGAGAATGACCCACCTTTTCTGGCATTTGTTGTATTATGCAGAGAAGTGTGACTTTCTTCTCTTTTGGGAGTCTTTTGAACTTGTATAAAACAGCTATTCCCAAGTGATTACTCCCTTTCTCAATCGATGCAACAAAAGATTATCACATAAAAAAGAATCCCACCGTGATTTTTCTTTTGAACACAGGCAATGCTGAAAACATGCGTGCAAAAGCTGTCATCTCTTGCCCCTCTCTGATATGTGTTAGCTCCATGGGATAGTAAAAGAAAAGAAGCACATTAAAGCTTTCTACATTATTGGGGTGAATCACTTTTTTTATTATTGTAAGGATAGCATTGATAACTGGAGAAAAGGAAGAACGTAACTGCAGTTCACCTAATCACTGCAATAATGCAAAGTCTAGAAGGGAGTTTAGAGGAAAAAATTAAATAAAATTCAATTTGTCAATAAGTGGTGGTTACCTCACATTTCTTTGCCAATCCAAATAGTAAAGCAAATGTTTTTTAGGCTTTTTCTCCTTCCTTTTCCTGTCTGAGAATCTTTGGTTTTTGATTATGATTTCTGCACATCTACATGTAGACAAAAATAGAATACCTATTGAAAGTATGGTTTACTGAGCAGAGTTTGTTTAACTTAAAACTGTATCTATGTATCACCTATGTCTAACATGACTAGTGGAACGTAGTCTGACAGCGTCTCCGTTTCTGTGCCGGCCGTTCGTTGGAAAATTTGTGAGAACAAGTAACGTTTTCCAAAAGAGATCCTCTACTACAGTGAAGTAACTGTAAGGGAACAGAACTTACTCCTGAATTCAAACAATTTGAGAGGCTTTTGTAAGAAAAGGCCTTTACGTAAGTTTACACCTTAGTAGGTCATCAGACTGATACCAAGTTTGAATGTAGCCACCTCCTGCCTTCGGGCCCACATTATAAATGCTGCTTGTGTGCTTTAGCTGTTTAACTGTAAAACAATAATTCCCAAAGCTGTGGTGGGACCACCAGGATGACTGTCTTCCATGAGGTGACACTGACAGCACCAGATTTTCCCTGGCTCAATACTACTGCTCAAACCACAGCTTGTACTTCTTTCTTCTCAGATGTTCATATCAACAGAAAATGGAGGATGATTCAGTTTGCAGTTTCGTAAGCTGTGCAATTTGGACATCTTCATAAGGAGATAGATGAGGTCAGTATACTCTCCTTCATACGAGGGAAATTCTGGAGCCCAGCTTGCTTGTTCTTCAGCAGATTTTTTATTAAATAGGTTGCTTTACAAGAGCTGGGGAAATTTTTTCCCTTGCTTTGTTTTGGGTTGGTGTCAATGCTTTTGGTCGTTATTAGCTTTGACTTGAGGATCTCAAGGCCTAATTTATTAGCTCTCTCAGCAGATTTAAAGAGGTTTAAACTTTAGGAATACAGCTTAAGTGTCTACATCCTACATGACCTTAAATATCTATAAGATAGAACTGTAAGTTTTTGGAGCATGTGCAGCAATCTAGCTTTATTTACCTACAATACATAGACATTTGCAGACCATAACTTTTTAAACTGCAGTGGGCTGAAACAACCTGGAATAAAGCCATTCCAATTTCATAAGTTCTTCACTATTTATCGCAGTGGCAGACAGAAGAAATGCACCTTTATCAGAGCCTATTTTTAAGAAGTTCACTTTTCACTGTCATAGAATAAGAAATTAGAGTAACCGTGTGCTTTTCAGTGTTTTGAAAACTGGTGATGAATAAGCATTTTTAAACTGTTTCTCAAATGTAATTTTACGGACATAATTTGTTTTCTAATATTAGAGATGTGATTTTGTTTGGTCTAGCTGAACTGCTAAAATTAAAGCAGCACATAGCAGGTATTCTCCAAATTGACAAAATTATTTGAGTCTGAAAAAAAAATGCAGATTTCTAACTCAAGATTGCAGTATCAATAGAAAAAAAAAAAAAAGGCATTTTTAGTACTAAGAAATCTATGGCTAAATTCCAATAATTCTGGATATTTTGATTTTGATATGTGTGCTAAAATGAGGCAGGATAAAATTATTCTTCCTATGTAAAATCATATAGAAGCATTATCAATTTTATTTTCCCATCGGTAAAACAAAATAGCAGCATAACAAAATGCCAGCATTCTTCTAATTACTGGTTAGACACCTGCATTTGAGATGAGAGCTTTGTATTGGTAATTTTATCAATTGCCGTCGTGTGTCTAAACTGCTGTAGTGAAGAAGGTGACTGAGAAGTTTATGTTTGACAGCTGTTACACCATCTGGCATCTTTGACTTCCATGACCCTTTGCAATCTGGCTTTCAGCCTAGGTAAGGTACAAAGACTGAACTGGCTTAATTGGTCTGTGATCTCTTCTTGGCAAAATACAGAGGTCAAGTTTCCACACTGATTATTCTAGATTTGTCAGCAACCTTTGTTAACACGAACCATTAAGTTTTGTTGACTCGTTTGCAGACGCTGGCAAGGATGGCCAAATATCAGTGTAGTGACTCTGCTCTCTCCTCTATAGGAGGTCTCAGAGGGTGATGTTGGACAATTGCTCATCTGCCCAGAGGATTCTCATGAGTAAGTTTTTCCACCATTACACTCTGTTGTCTTTCTTGTTCAGTGTTTACATGAAGCTTCTCAGGGACAGAGCAAGATATTTGGGGCTGTCATTTTATCAAAGGAAATAAATGAAATTTATCTTTGCCCCTTGTGCTTTTTAAGTGTGCTTTTTCTTCCGATGAATACAGTCAAGTTGATCCACCTTCCAGCTTCTGGCTAGCATGAAGATCAGGGCAGGCAAATAGATTTAAATTTTATTCATGCTCCTTAAATATTTAGAAGAAAGCTATTGTATAGGAATTGGTAGGTCATGGCCTGAAGCTGTGAATGAGAGCCAAGTGAGATAGTGTGGCTAACCAATGGAGATCAGGTGCAGCGCTGCATCCTGGGACTGCCCCCCTCACCCTCATTAAATGCTTCGCAGCTGGTTAGCAGTCAAGGGAGCAGCATTTTTGTTTGGAAGATGTACATTTCTTCAGGCTTCATGGGCCTTTGGAAGGGGTAAGTCACATTTCCTGTATTGTTTTTTCAAGTAAATCTCAGTGAATACCTGTACTAGTGTGTTGTTCTGTAGATGGCACTGTCATCATCTTCAGTTAAACACTTCATAGCTATACATGAGTGTGGAAAATTGAGGCAGGCTTGAAAGCTGGAAGATCATAGCTGTAGGTTTACCATTCAAAAGAATTCTTTGGTTCAGCTATACAGGAGCATAGATCAGAAAACTGCAAGAGAACTGCTAATAATACTACTTAAAATGAGCAGACATTAAAACAATTTGTTAGTTTACAAGGGATACTTCAGTTTGTAAATATTAATTTATCTTTTTATTCTATTATTGTCTTCTCATCAAACTCTAAAATACTTGTACCATATTAGGGTATAAGGAGTAGTATAGATGAGCATTTCTGGGGGGTTGATTAAGCACATACCTGATTTGCAAACCAGGAAGTAGTGAATGATTTTTTATTTATTTATTTATTTTTACTTATAATCCCGTTCAGGTAGTTCAAGCAAGATTCTCACTTTCATTTTTTTCCCCCACTGCCAAGGGAGGAAAAAAGACAGCAACCATGGTTTTCAACAAAAGCAGAACATAGCTACTCAAATTATGAATTAAGAGTTTACTTTTTTTTTTCTGACCTCATTCTCAATCTTTCTTCTTGTAATCTGGTCCCGAGGGTGCAAGTTAAAGGGGAAAAAAAAATAATAACATTAAAATCTCACCTCGTTATGTTTGATTTAATATTTTCAGCTATTTATCTGATAGGAACTGCAGTAGGAATAGAATTTTCTATCACTGTGCATATAACTTCAATAAAGATACTATTTCCCCTTTTTGCTTATAAGAATGCTACACTGTAGTTACAATAGCTCATAACTTTTTTTTCTTTAATAGGCCCATTAAAGCCAGTGTTATGTCTAGAAATAAATTAGAGTTCTCTAACGTAATGTTTTTGGCATTAGTGTTTGGGTTGTTTCTTCTCACTTTCGGAAGCTTTTAAACTGTCAAGTAAAAACTTCCCTTGTTATCAACATTAGTTTGACTTATTCAAAATTTTAATCTTCCTTTCTCTGCTTGTGTAGATGTGTTACACTACCCTCATTCATCTAGAGCCCTATTGATGCAGTGATCATTTTGAAGTATTAAGAAATTCTCAAGGAGTCTAGCTGGTACAATTCATCATTTCATCCTGATTTAGATGTGCAGTTTATTTACTCTAAGAAACTTGTTTTACTCCAGACCTACTTGTTCCTTAGTCTTATTTTAGTTGTCTTAATAGTTAATAGTAATTGCTTTGAGTGCACATTTACCGGTAACTTAAATGTGAATGCAAAGGCGTTAAACATTTCAGGCTCACTTATTTCACCCAGTACTTCTTTATTCAACTGGTTAGGCAATAGACACATACTTTCTATTGTCTTCCCCTATTTTCAAATGCAATTTCAGATTATTTCTGGAGTCCTCATCATTCCTTAACTTGCTCTCATGTGCTTATGTCATTGCTTTACATCTATTCCTAAAAATATCTCTTTTCATATCCCTCTCTAATTATATTTCAATTTTCAGGTCAACGAAAGGCCCTGGTAAATACATGATTAGTGTTGTGATCTCCTTCTCAACATCAGAACAGGCCATTATCGTACCTTCAGTATGTTCCCGTTCCAAAATTGCCATCCGGCAAACCTGCTTTCCTGTATTCTCAACAGGATAGTTTCCTCATTAAATTCTTGTGCCAACTTTGTATCTTCACAGATCTGTATATTTCCTTTTTATTTTAACTGCCAAATTCTACATTTTTCAATTTTTTTTCTTTGAATATAGTGTTCCACAGTCCTTTACATCTTAACTGCTGACCTCATCCTTAGTTGTAACTAACTCCTCAAAAACTAGAACAGCTTCCTCTTATGTCTTATTCACAAAACTAGAACTATTCACGCTCTTCATGAACTTGTGTCATGAACTTCAGCAACTTCTTGTGCGTTAGAGTTTCTTCTATTGCCAAGATCATACGAATAAAAAATGAATAAAAAATTATACCCACAACCAAGCTGCACCATTGAGCAAATTATAGAATTTTGTGCAGATCTTTAATAACACCTTTTAGCAGTGAAGTCTCTTTTTTTAAAATAGCTTTTAAAATTAAAAAATCGAGATGCAGAAAGCAAAATGAAAATAAAGAACAGAGTGCTTCCAGTAATGAAGACGGTTATTTCTCATAGCATTAGGTGAGAAAGTTGAGGTGGTTTTTTTTTTTTTTTGGGAGGGAGGGAGGGAGGAAGGAAAGGCAAAACTGCAGTATGAACCTAAGACAGGATAATTTATTTGTTTATTTATTCATTCATTTAGTGCAGTCTGTCCCTATGCGTTTCTTTAGCAATGGGGAACTATAACAGGGCCCGGGTGAACTCAAAAAATAAAAGGTGATAAGTAATTAAGCACCATCTTTGTCTTCAGCCTGTGTGATCTGCTCGATGTATTCAGTGAGGCTAACATGTTATCTCCTATGGCATACGGAATTTCGCTACAGTTTCAAATAGGGTTGTCAATGGAGCACTAGTGTACCTCTATATGCAGAATGTGAAGCAAGAGTAATTGTAAAGCACAACTGGGACGAAACTGTGAAGTCAGCTGACTGTATCAGTCACAGTCTAAGAAACTATGAATAGCCCTTTCTTTTTTTTGCTTATAATCCCATTCAGGTAGTTCAAGCAAGATTCTCACTTTCTTTTTTTTTTTTTTTTTTTTTTTTTTTTTT